TACTAGGCTTTAAATATTAACCTCGCATCATACAATAAAATATTCATGTGACGTCTCATGCACTGAATTTTGCACACTGGGTAGATTGTAAATAATTTATCATAATAAACGATTTGAAAAAAAAAATTTAAAAAAAATAAATTATATCATAATATTTTATGTATAAATGTATAATAGGTATGGAAAATTCAATGCGTCCCCCCCTTTCCACCCTAATGGATACCCATGATTGGCAGCGGTGCAACTCGTTTGCGCACAATTTAAATTTTTTACCTGGATATCGATGACTCGTTTGCGCACAACATAATCATTAAGTAACATGTATTTTATATTTTTAAATTTGGACTTACCTAAAGTAATTGAATTATCGGTACAAATTATCAGCACAAATTACCAGCATATCAATATCAATATATAATGATTTAAAATAATCGTCGTGTATTAGGAAAGCGTAATACTTTTAAACAGTCATTTGCCAGAAAGCTGTACTATAACTACTAACTGTATTGATTATGGATATCGAAATTTGTGATGTTTTTGAAACGCGTCGAGGAAATAAATGTTTAAACATAGAAAGTTATAAATTTAGAGAATTCCGAACTTGAAAATTTGACGATAAACATTTTAGGTGTACAAATAAAAAATGTTCCGTAAGCGCTGTAGTTAGGTTAGTTAATGAATCATATAAAATTTTAAAAATGACAAACACGCATACCCATGACGAGTACGACGACCGAACAATTCACCGAGAAGTAGTAAGAAGCAAATCGAAACGTAGAGCTGAAGAGGATTTACATATTACACCAAATAAACTAATACGCCGGGAATTGAAAAACAATGATAACTTCGAACATCTTCAATATAGCGATATGAAATTAATTCGAAGATCCATGTATGAAAAACGAAAAAAATCCTTTCCAAACATACCGAGATCTTTAGAAGATGCTAAAAAACAATTAGTTGATGATCAGCATAATCTTACTTACAAAGGTAATAAATTTTCTTTCGTTAGTGATGATGAAAATATATTTATATTTACATGTAAACAAAATTTAGAATTGCTACAAAGTGCAGAACACGTTTTAGGGAATGGGACATTTTCATTTGCTCCGAAATATTTTGTTCAACTTTATATTTTTCACGTATTTAAAAACAATTTTTATGTTCCTGTGGCGTTTTGTTTTTTAAGTAACAAACATACTAATACTTACATCAATATGTGGAAAACATTACAAAATATATGTATTCAAATTACTGGTAATATAATAAATTTAAGCTATTTTCATGTCAACTTTGAAAAATCTGTGCATAATGCAGTATTGCAAATTTTCCCTTACTGCAAAATTACGTGTTGTAACTTTCATTTAGGGCAAAATTGGTTTAGACATATTTAACAACATAAATTACTATCGAGCGAGTACTTAAACAACGACTCAGAAGTTGAAAAATGGATGAAATGTTTTTTTGGAATAAGTTATTTACTTCCTGACGAAGTTTCTGATGGATTTTGTGATCTTATGTCGATAGCACCAAGTACTACGTCTAGTAATATTTCTATATTTTTCGATTATATTTTAGAAAATTACATTGCATCGGACAGCAATTTTCCTCCAACATTATAGGCTTGTAAACCTACTAATAATCCTAAGACTACTAATGGTGCAGAGAGTTATCACAAACAATATAACAGTTAGTTTTACACTGCTCATCCGCACATACATCAAGTAATCGACGTCATTATTGAAATTCAAAGTGACACTGATTTAAAAATTAATTTGATAAACAATAAAATCATAAATTTCAAAAGAAAAGAGATAATTAATAAGGAGATACAGTTGTAAAACATTTGGAATGAATATAAAAATAATATTATTAATCGTTTAACTTATATAAAAAAAATTGGACTTAAATGCCACCATTCTAAATTAGTACAATTTTATTATAGACTACTATTATTATTTATTAAACCTACAATGCATGTTTTTTAAAATATTTTAATTTTTGTAATATTAAATTAATAATTGACAATATTGTTTACGCGTATAATCATTGACGTTATTATTACTTTTATCTGTATTATATTGTTGTATATATATCTTATTCTCGCCGATATCTGGTCGCTCGATGTTAAATTATATAATAAATACTTAGAAATGCAAAATAGTTAAATCTTAATTTAAATTTTTTTTTTTTATATATATACAATATGCATATATATTATTATTTTATACAGTCTATTAATTAATTAAAATTAAGCAAAAGAAAGGAAATATGCTCAAACGAGTTGTACCTTTATTATTTAAACCTAAAATATGTGTGCGCAAACGAGTTGTGATTTTGTGCGCAATCGTGTCGTAAAAAAGGTAAATGTGCGCAAACGAGTCGCACCCGATTGGCAGTGATTCTGCATTAATTTTTTTTTCAGTTATAACAATTAATAATTTTTAAATATTTGAATAAATACATTTACATACTTTAATACTTGTTCAATTGGTAATGTATTCGAGAAGTATTTGATAAAATATCATTTATTCATTTGTCCTAACAATTAAAATATTAAATATATACGTTGAAATCGTTTTTTAAAGTCTTAAGGTAAGTTAGTTTTTCATAGGAAAGAGAAAAACAACGAGTTCTTTTTTCAAAGAAACAAGGATACGAACGTATTCCTTTTAAAATTAAAGGAACTGTCCAGATCGTTCAGGAACTGAAATTTTTTTTTTTTTTTTACTTTAGGAACGAGAAATTGAATAGATTCCTAAACGAAATTTAGTTAAATAAGGAACGCTAACAATACTAGTTATTGTTGAACAAGAAGAAATTTATCTGAAATAGCTACTTCTACTATAAATAATGAATGGCCGAAGGGAGAAAGTTTAGAATTAACGTTAATTATGGATAAAATTTAAGATTGTTCATGAGTTATTCAAAAATATAGTGAAACGGATGTACTAAAAGTCGCTTTAACGAAATATCAGTGCAATCATGCAACACAATTATCTATAAAGGTGTTTGAAAAATCTAGCAGGTCACTTTTTATATGTTAACCAATACAGTATCACAATAATATATTTTGACAAAGTATATGGTACTAAGTCCATAATTCTAATCACAATTTATGTCTTAAAATCATAGTTTTCAGAATAATGTTTTTTTCATGACAAATTAAGTTCATATCTAACTTTGACCAGAGTCCATTGAATTATTTACTCTGTCACCTTTGTGTACGTCATAAATAACATTAACCCACGTAAAAACACAAAAAATACTAATACAATTAAATAATAATACAAATAAACAATATTAACATTAGGTATTGAAGTTATTTATAAAAATATTAATAAAATATTGCATAGTGAGTGTCTACTCCATTTTATCATTCTAATAGTTGTCTATATAAATATATAAATTAATAGTATTATTTTCGTAGGTATCTACTAATATACATTTCTTTTAAGCACCAAATTAGGTAATTTGTACACAATTTACTTATTTGTTATTTTACAGCTGATTTTATTACGTATAATAAATATAAATAATATAATACAACTTGTAAGTTATTAAAACATTTATTAGTTGAAAATATATATGTAATTTCACAACCTTATATTTTACCAAAGAAAGTAATAGTTTCTAAACAAGAGAATATTACAATTTTAATGAAATTTCCATAATGTAATAATAAAAACATTTTTATTTTATTTTATATCTATCTAACAAATAATATTAAGCTAGTGAACTTTTAAAATTAAAAGCTACAGTACGCTAATAAATTAATGTCATCTGCATGTATATGTGCACTATACTTACTTATATACATTGTCAAGAATGGGCAAGACACTCAAAAATGTACTCAAATAAACAAGAAATTTAATTTTTTTTAGTTTCCATTACAGAATGAGTACCTATTATCATTAAATGAATATTTTATAGTATAATAAGTTGTACATAAAAAAAAAATATAATCACATATACCTATGTTACATATAACATTATATAAATATGTATTTATAGTTCGAGTAAAAAATATAAGACAAAATCTAATTTTTATAAGGTAATTTCAACGGTTTATAAAAAATTATGATTACATTTTTTTATGTTTTATATTTAAACAGTGTAAACAGTGATTATAATTAGACATACATAGGAAATATGTAAGGAAATATATATATATATAATATATATAGTATATGCTAAGGAAATATGTAAAATGTATTTAATATTATTTGATTGCTTTTTATAAACACGAATATTAAGGAAAATGAATTCGACTATTTCAAGAATAACAATAACAGTCTGATTGTGTTAAGGAATTTTATTCCATTTAATAACAATAATTAATAATAATAATAATTAGTACCTATGTAACCGTAAACAGAAATCCCAAATATGATGTGTTTTTTATTGCATTAATAAAAATAAAATGTATTATAAATTATAATATATTACCCACCATTACGTGCGACAGTTAGGTAAACGTATGTATAATTATTTAGGTGCGTTAATTTTTAAGCTAAAATATATATTATATTTATTTACAGTGTATCGAGAATGCATGGAAATATTTCACTCAGCGATTATAATTACATTTAGAACAGTTCCAAACCTTCTAGACACCCTGTATGTAATGTTACATATTATGTTTACATGTAATATTTCGTCTGATCGAACGATAACAAATTTAAAAAGTAAATGTTTATATAAAATTTTGCTCACAACAAACTAATTAACAATCACAACTCGATGTATAGATAAATTAAAGATATATAAAAAAATGTACATATAATTAATTATATATACGTAATAAATATTCACAATTTGTTTTCTAAAGATTTTAATGCAATTTCATAATACTACTCGTAATAATAATAATAATAATAATATTAAAATTATAATTTTTCTACAAAAGACGCTTTTGTTATCAAATTAAATTTCTTCTACCCTGTGTTTATAGTTTTATTGTAGCCGCTAAGATTTTTTTTTCTATATATTTTAACGACAAAGCAAACCAGCTATAAATAAATGAAAATATTGAACATTTCATAATATAATAGTAATAATAAGTGTAACAACAAATATTCTTTGACGTCGTCGAACCGATTCCGATTCACTGCAAACTATTCCGAAGTGATCGAACGACTAGAAAATGAACATATTTTTGTGCAAGTTCGCTCATTTGTAAATTAACGAATGTATATGTACTTTTTATATTAAATTCAAATCATACTCTAATGGAACTATATCCAAATAGGTAACAATCGTACAGTTTTGCATGCGATGGCTAAAACATTATGAATTCTTCTAGTATAAAAACTATTTATAAACAACCATAAAATAAAACTATAAAATATGCGACCGCCTGATTATTTAACATTTACATAGTAGTACACAATATGATATTTTTATCGTTACTATCGGCGACGTCTTATAGCAGTTGAATTCCTTCCGCGTTCAAGTACGATGGGTCTACGGATACCACTTTGGCGGTCAAGAACGCGTGCACGCAGAACAGCAAACTCTGTAGATCTTGACAAACCAATTCCTGCGGTATAAACAATTATTACTACAAGAAGTCAATGCAAGTATTGATGATGATAACGTATAAATAATTCAAACGCGAATTCGTATCACGAATTGAAATGTCTGTGATTGCGTGTAAGCGGTACCAAATCGTTCAATACCAATTTACCATAATAGTGTATAAATATCGAACAATTTTTTTTTTGTTTTGTAAATTTTGCCCGTGGGCGTGAATGCAAAATCTCACAATATATGATTTCCCGCCATTTTTGGTATGAAATTTTAATCGGCCCATAGCAGATATTAATATACATTTTAATGTTTACGACACGATATGATACGCCACGTGTTCTAACCTTGGTTTCGATGCGACCATTGTCGTTGAAGTGTAGTTTTAGTCGGGAAATGTGATCGTCCGAGGAGCCGCGGAGCTCGGAAAATTTGTACGTCCACACGTTGGAATTGTTCCAGTTGTCGTACAATGTGAACCCGTTGTCCCAGTCCAGTATTAAGTTCGACGGCTGTTGGTTGTTGCCGAATAGCACGTAAAACGTTCTGCTCTGTAAACGTATTTAAAAAAGTTAAACGATTTACCATCAAACAATTAACTAAAAACCATTAAGGCTTGCAGCGGTCAACTGACAAAATAAGTGTAAGAAGACGTTTTGTATATAAAAGTAAAATCAACCGTACTCTCAGTTTTCATTTTTTGTCCCAGTACGAACATACCATGTATAATATTCTGTAAGCATAACGTTTTTATAATATAAAACACAAGAGTTTGTATATATTTATTTATAACACCAAATACTTTGCAGCTTCTTCCCTATACAAGAAATTATACAATGCAACGCATAAATATAACATTATATATTGATGAACTCGGTTCACAGTGGACGACGCATTGTTTATTATTTTTTCTTACGAGTTACCAATTTAGTGGACCTACCGCCTCACGGCAATACGTACATAATATTTACGTATAAACGCTTATATACCTGTATTTATAAATTCGATTATTTTATCTTTATTTTTAATAATATTATTTCTGTTTTAATTTTTACTTTTCGAACACAAATATCGAGCACGTTTGAATTGCGATACGGTTGTCTACCGCGAACAGCAAGGAGTGTTCACATTTAACGCTCATCTGATTTATACACACTTTTACGTAAATTGTACCATATAGACGTCAACAATAAACACGTATATCACATAATGCATAAAGTGAAAAAAATGCATACAATCACTCGCACCTCACCCTGCAGGTATAGTAATCGGGAAAATAAAACTGCACGTTTCAAGGTCGATAGATGGTTAAAATACCTATGTGCAGTACATATATATATACGAGTACCTCATAATATCGAATACAATCACGTATATTTAGAATGCAACGGACGACTTTTGCGAGAAAAAAAGTACCAAAAAAAAAAAAAAAGGATCGAATACATTTAAAAAAATTGATTTATGCAATAAAAAATTATGCGTATGCAAGTCACGGCATCGCTGACCCCATGGTATTGGCGGTAACTGCAAGTGATCATCGTTACCGCCGACTAATGCCTACGATCTACATCTAATTTTTATTTTATTTTGGTGGTTAGGGATCAAAAACCCGTTTACTTATCGTCACACCTATACGAACATGGTCTTTATATTATATTGTGTAATATACGTGTCACATGTAGTATTATAATAATAGCACATCGTCGACGCTCACTTTGATGTGCGTCATGGACGTGCATATCGATCTGTGCCACGCACACTGCACGTCTAGTAAACCCTGTTTGGTTTCCATCGAGAAGTATCGGGAAACGCCGTTCGACGTCTGTAGCAAAAAACAGTTTTGCCGTTGATCCACATTCTCCGTGTCTTTCACCAATCTCAACATGGACTCGTACAGCTTGTACACCACGTCGCAGTCCAGCCATTCTGTAATGGACATCTGAAACCATATCACAATATTTTTCAAAAATCGATCTACAAGAAACTGTTGATATTTACAGTTATAGGATTCGCAGATTCCCATCAAAAGCTGTTAAAAGTTTTATACATTTGTGACTTTATCAGTATAATAAAATGGTTTTTTTTTGTGTGATTTATCTTAAAATGTATGTATAATATACAAAATTGAAGCGTCTTTTTAACATTAAATTCATACGCATACAACAATAATAAAGTAATACCTATCCATATAAATAACTTATATATAGCCCTAAAATGCATGATTCTTGTGAATCAAGTAACTATGTAACTTTGCATTATTTGTACAATTAGGTGATTATACTGCACATTATACTTATGTATTAATAATAAAGCTCTATATGCTAAGAAACAGTTTGTTTTATTATATCTATGAGACTAGCGAGTTTCTGAGTAGCTTAAGATCTATATAATATTAATTCAACGTACATTAAGAATTTTTTGACGTCCAAAAAAAACAGAAATAATTCCTTTTCTGGCGTATAAATAGGGGAGGGAAAAGACAAAATTATGAATAAAATATATAAAAATATTGATTGACATAAGAATTTTCTGGTTTTACGTGCCAGTTTCTGACCTTATAAAACGTCAGAATATATAACAGCCAATTAAACTTTGAAAATGTTTTTTAATCTTTCAATTTAATTTAAAATTTAAAATTTATAAGCACTTTTTTATTTTAATAAATAATAATTGGGATCTAAATCATTAATGTGCAGTTTTTTGACACATCAATTTTAAAAATTATATGGTTTTAACCTATTAAATGTGTGTGGTTTTAACCTACAACAAATGTGCGGTTTTAGGAATTGATGGAATGTAAACTATGTGTAACGTATACGTTCATATATGTTACATATATATTACATGTTTGACAGAAAATAAATATAATATTTCAATTGATATTATTATATTTTAATATTTGTATAATAAGTAATTACTTAACTGATGTGAGATGGAACATTTAACATCTAGTAGAGTTCATTATATAATTTACATATATAAACTTATGTCATAGGTGAATTCTAAACATTATTTATTGGGGTGGTGCTTCGGTAAAAAATTTAAGGGTAGGTGATTGACTCAGAACTCAGTAGTTACGTTGCTACATAGTAAACGTTTTAATAGTACTTATTGAAAGCTCTAAAATAAAAATTAAAAATTAAAAAAAAACGTTTTAACGTTAAAGCAGTTATAATGTAAATCGATTGAAGCCAGGAAAATGTTTCGGAATGAGTGGGTGATTCCAATTAATCTTCCCCGATAAGATATTCAAACCGCCTCTAGTTACGTATAACAAATAATTCCTCTCTGCCTATTTTTATTCAGCATATTTATCTTTGACGTATGTTTGCTTTACGAATCTAAAAAAAATTCGCCCATCTAGGCAATATCCGCAATGATGGTAATATAATATGTTTCGCTGACGTAAAAGTTGAGTATATTATCAATATACCATATAGTTTTAACGAACCACGCGCACCTGTTCAGCAAATGGCACAAGACGATTAAACCATCGGTATACAAAATATAAGCCACATCATTGTGGATACATGTTAGCTTACACGGTTAACATTTTTATTTTATGTATTTTTATAAGACTGAAGTTTTTAAACTCATATAATGTGTGTACATACATAAAATTGAATAAATATATAAAGTTATATAGTCCCTACTCAGGCGCTTCAACATATACCTATAAAGAATTTAAAATATTTCATGGTTATCGATCAACTAGTTCTAGATTTATTACTTAGCTCTTAAAGTGTAATAACAATAGTTCTTTTGAGATAAAACATAAGAAGTAATCGAAAATCGCCGTATCCTGATACGTATTATATACCCTCTTTATGCGGAATTATTAGAGTGAGAGCTTTAAGTATTTAATAAGCCCTTCGACGCTACGCATCAAGTACCAACAAACCAAAAGAGATTCAATATTATATAAACGATTATAATAAATATTGAATTGATAATACAAGTAGTCTAATTTTCTTATTGATACCGTCGATCTTTATATGAGTACGTTTGTTCACGTAAACACTTTAACATGTAATTTAATTTTACAAGTCATAAAATAGGTGAAAAATCTTTATTTGTAAAATATACTACCCACCATCATGATGATACTTAACGAAACTTTTATTATAAATATATTATGAAATTCAAGAAACAAAATAGTATGGTAGGGAGTTCTCAGTCGCCATAAAATATTATAATAATTTATTATTATTTTATTTATTTATTTTATTATTATTCACTGCCATTCTCATAGCGAATTATGACAAGATAGATTATTTTTAATATGCTTCTATGATAATGAACTTGGGATAAAATCGTTTAAAATTAAAAATAGAACACATAAAAAGTTGTGCTTATTAATGCGATGGATTACAGATATTTTTATAAAAAAATGTTGCTCAGAATAATAACACAATATTATCAGATTTAAATAATACTAACTGGCGGTGTGTCAAAAAGCAATACGTCTCGTCCTCTGATAATCATGAATCTCGCGCAATAACTCTGCCAAGGGTGGTTGTTGTTTAAAACTCCTTCATTTACCCATCCCATATACTCGATTTTTTCATTGATTCCAAAGTTTAAATTATACAGTTTAATCTAAAAGAACAAAGAAATATAACATTATAAAGACGGAATAATATAATTGTACTTTGGAAAACACTTTTATTACTTGTATTTCCGCTAGATTAGCAATGTTTTCCGAAATGAGTTTGACCCATTCAGACAAACTTTTGACGTTGTCGCAATGTATGATAGTGGAATTCGAACCATTTATGCCGTGCACTTCGAAACCGTTTCTTCGCAGTTTGTCTGTACCCTGCACGTATCTTGTTACGTAACCCATCATCAGTGGTACTAAAATTCAAAATTAAAGCAAAACACATAGGACTTTATAAATAAAAATTTAATAATGTAAAAAAGAAATAAACATTTGTTAAATTCATACTTATAAGATAATCTACCCATTGTCCGTCTTCTGTGTCACTTTCTCCATTATTGTTGTTGTTTTTGTTATTATTGCCTAGAATTTAAAATATCGAATGGATAAACATTTTACTACAATGGTATTAATTTCAAGTTTAATATATAAAACGCATATCTAACTGAATAAATCTACATGAAACGAGCTCTTATTAGTAGAATTTACCTTTAAAACTATCTATATTAAATTAGGATTTTAATAATTATAACTAATAACTTATTAGTATATGGTTATTTTATAAATGGATACAAAAATCAACTTAAAAAAATGTGTAAGTTATTTTTATTTTATAAATTCTTTTATAATATTGGTATAGCATTTACCTACTGGTTAAAAAAAAAAAAAACTTATTTTATTAAGGTACTAACCGACCTGTCACAGCTTCGTCTGTGTGTATGTTTAGTGTATAAATATGTGTGTATGTTAGAGTAAAATTGCATATAGGCGACAATTTCGTTCGATTTTGGTTATTTTTCTGTAAAATATTAATGTGATATGATCCTGGTGCGCCGTAATGTCTGTACAGTGAAGCCGCGCCATCATGAAATATTATCAAGTTTAAAATTTTCCCTATGATTAGTCAAGCTATGACTTGGGGAAAGGCGCCCTGAAAACCTCAAATCAAAAAGGACAGCGTAAGTCGAAAAAACTTGGGAAGCACTGCATTAACGGATATTTCAGTGCATCATATGATCTATTCAATCCGGAAACTCGACGCAAGTGTCCACTTTTACCGTGCAGAACTATTTATCTAGGACCTTTATCTTCATTAACTAATAATACAGCTACTTCATCGATGGTAGGTGTATTATATTGACCTCAGTGCTTTCCTTAAGAAACTCGATCAGTGTGAATAATTAACTTAAAGTTTTGTATGAGGTTATTATTTACATTCAAAATTGTTCACAATGATTCAATGAGACCTCTTTTTAAATTTAGAATCATACTTGTTCGAGTAGATATTTGATCCGACTAGGACATAAAATATAATTGTAAAAATTTAGCATTATTTCCAATTTCGGGTAGTAAACTATCTATCAAATGATGTACTTGACCCTGAATTTTAAAAGTGGGCATGAAGTTTCCTTCAGCTATTTCGTTTGTTTCAAACGATGTAATTTAAAACAGAATATTATACCGCCTAGAATTATCGAATAAATATTTTGATAGAGGGTGAGAATTATCAATTAAACTTTTAATTAGGAGGATCTTTAAATTTATAGAATAAAATAATTCTACTGTCAGCGCAGCAAAGTCCGTGGGTTTCATCTTTCAATTTTTTTGCATGAAACTTTGCGCATAATGTAATCATTGGTCCTATTTGAAGCGCTGGAATATTTAAATAATCAATTTCGTATCGATAAGTAAACGCTGATTTCAGATTCAAAGCTGTTGTGCAAGTCTTTTAGGACGTTCTGGTATGTTTTCTTGTTGCCTTTTGTTATAAGTTCGAGTAGCATTCTTGGCGCTCTCAGCATGATGATGAATTGGCAACTTACTCGAAAATGAATCCTGTTACCATGCCCAATAAGCCTTCAAAAGTAGTATCAAAAAGTATCTTTTATCAAACAAAAAAATAAAATGTTTGTAATCTTGACGACCGTAAAATTTTAAAAAAGATAAATAGTGTTGTCACAAAATGGGAACATAAAAAAAGCCTGTTACAAGAACTTAATACTTATTTTTTATTAACAAAAGTGATACTAAAACCTTTAGCAGACTGTCAGGTATAACAGTATAAAAATTTAGCCGAATCGGTTCTGTAGTTTTCTCAGTTAGAGCGGTTGTAGAAAACTCTTTACAATTTTATATAGTAGAAGAGATAGAAATTTCTATTTTATTTGTATGTATATTTAGTATAACTAGGTGCATACACCTAGTTGTAATTAATATAGTAGATGATGTTCATATAAATCAATTAAATATACTATGATGATAATAGGAAATAGTAAGTACGTGATTAAGAAGTGAACATAAAGATACGGTAAATCAAAAAATGTTTGCCATAGACAAGTAATTGATTGTACTCGTAGTAATTATCAAAGTGTAATAAATTACCAAGTAGAATAAACGACTAAAAATTTCACAAAAAATGTAATAAATAATAATTTAAGATACTTGTATATATATAAGTGCAGGCATTTAAATAAATGAAAATAATGTATTTAATTAGTATTAAATACCAGTAAAATTTTTTTTTATTAAGACTCAAACGTTTTTTACAAATATTATCAGGTTTAAATATTAATTAGAGTGCTGATACATAAATATCTATTGATACACATAGTAATTAAGGAGTTTACAATTACTGTATAAAAATTATAAATTATATGGTATATTATTAAATATTGTTAAAAGATCAATTATAGTAGGATCTATATATGTTTCTATTAATTAATCAAATTCATCCTTCCCTAGAAATGCTTTTGGATCACATAACTGATGACTTATGCTTATATTACTACATAAAATAAATACTAATTAATAATAACACTTAATTATCTTGTGTTTATTTAGTATAACAATTAACTTATTGTATCAAATTAAGTAAGTAAAAGAAATTAATAAAAATAAACTTATGGTATAACCAACTAAAATTGCATAGTGAAAATATATTTTGTAAATTATACCTTTTGATCCTAATAAAAATGGAGCCGCAGCTTTGTAATGCTTAACCAATAATGTGACGTGATTTCCAGAATTTCGCAAAATGTGTAAAGCTGCATCATGGCAAACATTCGTTATTAACTGATCGTTCACTGTAATAAACAAAAATCCGAATCAATAAATAATAACTTTTAGACATGGTAATGTAGGTAGATGTACAATTATCGGCTGCATCAATACAATTAACCACTATACATAATCATACCAATATCAGTTTTGCACATTATTGTACCTCAGTTATAATTTATTAGTAGTATTGAAATTAAATCAAAGCGATCATAGGTATTTTATCGAGGAGATTTATCAATTTTTAGATTTATATTTTATAGTTAATTTGTACAGCGAAAAATTACATTTTTCCTTTTTTCCTTGATTCGAGAAATTAGGCTACGGTAGAATAAAAAATAAAAATCTCATTACGAAACAACATAATAATTTAAAGTTGATGGTAATCAATATAAAACAGAAAAGTACAATATAGTAAATTATGTTCACTGAAAACAGGATAAAAACATCTCTCAATAAATTTAATTATAATTTATCACTAATGAACTAATTAACTCATAAAACTAATGAAACTAAAAATATAAGCACATAATTACTGTATACTACCTTTAATTATAGCATCTCCTACAAACAATCTTTTGGTGTGGTAAGCGGCACCTCCATCGGGAATCCTCGATATTAATATCGGTAAATTATTTTCTTGACCACCTTTGACGCTTATTCCGAGACTTCCGTTTTTTCTCACCACAGTCACATATCTCAACTATTATATTATAAATACAGTATATCATTTAATTCCATCATATTAAAATTAATATCAATTAAAGTAAAAATAAGATAAAATCAACAAATTATTAACAAATTATTACCTATGTTAGAAATACATCTTTACACTAAGTAATATTTAATGTCAAAATGATTATAAAATTACTTTTTTGTAAATATTACTATTTTATTTTATTCTAAGTAGGTAATGAATGATTACTGTGTATAAAAAAGTAAAAACTTCTGTTAAGAAATAATGCATTGGTTATAAATTTAATAATAATTTCTACGAAATAACATTATAGTTTATTGTTTGGGGTAATTATTTTTGTTTTAATATAATACATTCCATCATTCATAACTTATAACTATGATACTATTTATCTATGATTTCATGGATTTTTTAAGAATGACTTTTAATTCTTCTTCTTTTAATGATTTAATTGCAGTGTACATTTACTGTTTATTTTTTTCATTTATTTAATTAGTATCGTTAGAATAATGAATTATTAGCAAGCAGCTTTCTACAACAGTTTGATTGTAGCCTTAATAATTTGTAATTTTAAAAATAAAAATAGTAAAAATATAACATAAAATTACATAATAGTTGGGGCTAGGTTGATAATTGTCAATGGTATCCTCGGACGACGATGATGACGATTGTTGGTTGTCGACTATCTCTTGTTTTTGTAGTTTCAGACATTCCAAAGTCAAAACCAATCGAATAGTTAATGAACCTCTATTTGAATCGTTCACTCGTACTAATCCCGTTTTCGCCTAACGATGTAATACATTAGTTTTCCAAACTGAATGATATAAAATCATTACTATAATATATATTATAATATTACTTTGATCCCGTCCAAACATTCCTCTTTTATATCCGATTCTTCGGTACTGTTTAAATTCAAATGCATAATTTCTTTGAACTGTTCAAAACTGAAAAAAAATTAAGATAATATGTATTAACTGGTGATTTTTGAAACAAAAACCTATTATAAACTAATTAATTAATATTTATAATGTATTAAGTAAAAGTAAGAATATTACATCATAATATAATTGTATTGTTACGTTTATAAGTAAAGGGCTGTATTGAATTAAACTCAAAATTGGGCTTAAGTTGACAAGTATAAATTACTGGGTTGACCAAATAGTGTATGATACTGATGCATACAATCATTGAAAACGGGCGTTACTCGTTTCCATCAAAAGTGTACCATTCCATTTTCCACCAAATAATATTTTAACCGATACCCGTTTCTACCAAATTATATTTTGACTGATACCTGATTCGTCGAATCAATTTCTATATCACCTACAAGTACATATATTATTTTTTTAAAAATATAAAAAATACACTATCTATAGATTAAAATACTCGTAGAGATATCTATAATGTCTTTGAATTCTCATTTAATCAACTTTTAAGTGCATATAAGTACATGAGAAATTTCGTTTTTTAAGTTTTTTTAGTGTTTTCTATGTTTTCTATGTCATTATAATGTTCTTATCATAACTATCATTAATTATCATATGATTTCAAAGGTTTATATCTTTAAGTTTACTTATTGTTATTGTTGAGATGTATTAGGTTTTACTAATAACTAATAAATTAAAAAATAAAACGCAGGTGTATTAAACATTGTTGGTGTACTGCTAAATTCATCAAAATAAATGTTTTATAATTGTTTAAATAAGATTTTCAAAAGCTATATGTGAGAAACAGATGATTACCCCTATATATTATGTATTTTGTAGAGTTCCTCTATATACAGTAAATATTTTAAAATATGACAAGTGGCTTATAATCCATTTGTTTGCGATGTAAATATAATAAATATATTTGATAGCTTTTTTAAATACATTATTAAAAAACATGCGAAAAAATACTTGATATAGGATTTAAAAGCATTGTTACTGTAAATATATGAATCGTTTTAGAGTGGTAAATATAATAATACTTTACTTATGCGGAATACCTACACATTTATACGTAAATATGCTTTACATGGGTAACCCTCGACTTTAAATTTACTCAAAAGGCAAAGATAATTGCTAATGTTTACAATATCGAGACTTTGATCCAGGAATGGGTATAGGTATAAAATATTAATTGCAAGGTAAGGGTTTTGGAATGCAATCCTCCCCGAATACCTTTTTTATTATATTAAATTAAGTATGTTCCTTATAACATTTCTCATCATCAACCAATTTTGGAATATTATACAATTAATCGAATCGATCAGTTAAAATAAGATTTTTTTTCTTAAAAATTATTTTAAGAGAGTGCATTGGGTAAATTATACAGCTTCCTTTTTTTTCTGTAGATTAGAACATGTAGTGCAGGAGCATAACTTAGTAACTAAAATCCTAAGTGATCACCCATCCAAGGACCATTAACGTCAAACGTAAGTTAATTTTTGAACTTGAAGAAAATAGTGGTTGATTATTATACTATAACATATCTCTAACTTTGAAAATACAGGTATATGTAGACATAAAAATATGTTAGATATTTGAAGTTTATTACTTTATTATAATTATCAAATATATAAAATAAGAGTCGCGAGGAATTTATACTTTCAAAAATGTGGACCAATAAATATTTTTATAATGAAAATGTTAAATTTAAAACAGTTAAAATTTAAACATTTTTCACACAATTAGAATAAAACGCTAGGTAAATAACTTGAAAATATTTGATTAGATAGTACAGAGTACATAGTACACTTTTACATTTCATAGAATCCTAAGAACAAAAATGCCATTGTTGTGTCGAGAGATTAATCGAATCACATGTGTGACGATGGGATTGATTTCCGAAAATTCGCGAGAGAAAAAATCCATGGTCCGAGTTCCCACATACACGCATGCTTAAATTAATTAACATGTGTACACCAACTGACACTATGAAATAATCCTCGCCATTCCGTGCACACATACACGCACAATACGTATATGTATAACGTAACTTTAATAACTCTTCGTGTACAGTGTATATTATATACATTATTCCCTCGTGACCCTTTCTCGCGAACACTCTACGGGACCATCCAATATCGATACGCGTAATAACAGTATACACATAAATTCATAATAGATACACACACACGTACACGTACACACATTTCTGGTGTTTGCGGACGTTATTATTCAGTGTACACTACCGCGGGCACGCGCGCGTGTGCGTATTTATATATACGTGTACGCGTAATACGTACAAACGCGGTATAAGGTTAGTGGGGTGGTTTTGGCGTGTGACCGTAGGCGGCGGCGGCGGCGATCGAACACAATGGCCCGAAAACGGTGGTTGCGTGCGTGTGCTTGTGCGTGTGCATTTGTGTGTGTGTATGCATGCGCGAACGGTGTAGCCGCTCCCCCAAGAGTTTTTTCTCCGACGAAGAGTCCGTGGGAAATCGTGTCCGGAACTACTCTCACACACCCCTTCGTCATTCCCTCGTGCCACTTCTACCCATCGCCACCCCCTGGCCGCCACCACAATTTGCCTATATTGTATAATTATTGTAAACACGGCAGACTTAATCTCACATACACACATACACACACTTAAGTCTATAATATAGACTATTATATATATACAGGTTATAAAGGTATATTTTGTTATTGTGTGCACATTTACTCGCTGTTGATCACTGCGTGTAACGAGTGGTTGCAGTTGTGTGTGTGTACCTGATCCTCGCGCCCAATGGCACGTGCCTAACGCGTGCCTGTGTATGTAAAAATCCACCGTCATTAAACAGCAGGTGCATATGTGGTTGTGTGTACACCACTTTTAAGGCTTGGATTGGGCATGATTTGCTTTTTTTTCAACGTGATCAAGTAGGTACCTATACAATTTATCGAAAACCAATATACTATTTTTCCTTATATTATTGCTTGTTTATTATTTTAAATTGTTTAAACGATTTTGTATTACAATAGAAATTTGTAATTCTTTCCATATATATGTGTATATATGTATGTCTTTTCAGTAGGACTAGGGACTTTATACCCTTAAAAACCTTAAAATATGTATGCATTTGTGTCCTAAAGAATCAATAAATATGCTATTAAAATATGTATATAAAAAAATTATATTTGTAATAATTAATTGAATAAAAAAATTTAACTAGTAATAAATTATAATAATATTTTTATATATGATAGATATGATGATCTGAGATAATTTTTTCTTTTTTTCCAATTTTTTTTCATCTTATATTGAATTTTTATCTAAAACAAAATATTTAAAATGGTTTTAAAAATAAATTAAATTGAAAACATTTTTTTTATTTTTAATATAGTTATAATTCTTCTAACCTTGAGCATTACATTGGACTATAAGATATTTTCTTAAGTTGGAAAATTTAAATGACTGTCTGTTATCAGCCAAAATAATTTTATATTTAGAAAAGGAACGTTACACGTCTACGGAACTTATTAGTGCAAACTTAAAAAATCGTAGGTCACTACTACTAATATCTGTAGGCAATCTATCCATAGATTCATTTTTCCATTTAAAATGTTCGAAATTTTTTATAGTTAGCCTTAGCTTGTGCAAATTCTTCAATTTTTGCAGAATGTATACGTTTTTTATAGTTTTAATTATTTTAATGCATTCAATTAGTGTACGAATAAGACACCTTGAGTTCCAAGTCACGTGATATATGAAGAAATAAATCATAATTTTTTTTTATAAAATTTAAAAACTTACTCCTTCATATGAATAATTGTCAAATATGCATTTATAAAATGAAAAATGGTCAAATATGCACTTATAAACGAAAAATGGTCAAATATGCAAAATATGCAACTATAAATTTTAAATATAAACTTGTTATTGCTTTGAAACAAATTTAAATATTACTTAGCTATATTTTTGATAATTATTTAAAAACATGCAAGTTCCTAGAAGTCCCGAGCCCTACTTTTCAGTCATAAAAATTTGAATAACGAGGTGAAAGGAGAAGTCCAAATATTCCCGCACGTGCCATTCACGCTTGTACGATAATATGCCGATATAAGATAATAAACGATTTGACGTTTCATAGAATGATAAAAAAATGGGTTCAACCGGGTGGTTAAAAAGGGCGATATTAACAATTTCGGCCACTTTGCTCAATCATATAGTAATTCATTCAGCATCACCGGATTTCAATTCTGCAGTACTTTGCTTTATTATTCAACTGTCGCTTATTGTGTTTACCATATTAGCATATAAACAAGTAATTTCCCGTGAAAGAAAGAATAAACACATTCGCAATCCCTGATTATTTAAATCACGCCCAATATGCCTTTGATAAAAGTAATTAGATTTCTATTCGAGACGGCACGCGTTTGCCGGGGGTGGGAAGAAATATGAGAATCGCGACACGCGCGCGTAGATCGTCAAGACCGATCTCGAATTATAAAACCACACCATACATTGCATATAATTGTTTCACAGGCTCAATAAATCGTGTTATTCATTATGAATTAATTTTAAAAACTACATGACTTAAAAATATTTCATGGTAGGTAGGGTGGCTTTCATTATTATTCGATTAGAAAATAGTTTCACCGTGGCGGCCGAATGATTACATGATATATAAAATATATGTATGAGCCTCTAAAAATTAATAAATGAAATAGCTCTAGAAAAAAAATATATCATACACATCAATAAAAACTCACAGTGGCGTACCCGGAGAAAAAGCCGTAATCTCTCTCGTCCCGAAATGTTCTCATAGGTCTACATCAGCAACAAACATTTACAAACGACGCTGATGATAGGAACAAAAAAGTTGGATGCAAACTATCAAAACATTTTAAAATACAAGTAATTCCAAACTTTTCATTAAGTAACTTAATCATATCACATTAAATAAATTATGAATTATAAAAATAAATATACATAAATAAAATAAATAAATGAATAAATAAATATACATTCTTCTAAAATCTAATTAAATCTTACCTATTTTTCTATTTAAATACTTTTTTATTCCTCTAAAAATATTTTGGTATGCATATCTTAGATTTGACCCACTGTAAAAAATGGTTGGAGACTTCTGATCCAATCTATGTCTATACTAAATTTTATCAAAATCGGTTAAGCAGTTTCAAAGTCCATTGAGGATAAAACGTTGGACACGTAATTTTTATACATAAGAAACATACGAGCATATATTAAAAATGTTTCGTGAGTGAAAATAAAAATAAAAGAAGGTAGAATAATTCCACACGTGTAATATATAAATACAATTTATATTATTATTATTCGTAGTTCATAATTGTGGTGATTATAACTTGGTGTAAAAACGTCTATAGTAGCAATCTTGTTTAAAAATGAAAAACTTTAAAAAGTACGTTAATGCATTGTAAATCATTTTATGGAAATCTGAAACATATGTATAATTAATCAACTGGTGACAATGATAAAAATTTAGCTTGCTCATTATAAACAAATCGTGTCTTCTGGTTTGATTTTTATATGTTATTATGTGTATCGACAAGGGGCATATTTTTGGTAATTATATCTTTTTCAATTCAATTCGTGACTTTACTTTTAAAGGACAATACTTTACTCAACTTTATACGTGAGAACGCGTACAGTGATTAAGTGAAGTATAGAGAAAAAGTTTTGACGGAGAAAGATTGAATAAAAACATGGTAGAAAACGAAACGTTCCGCCGTCCTAAATCCAGTGATCGAAAAACTTTTAAAAGTGTTTATAACCTCTAACCTAATTTATCTATAAAGTTGAAACTAATATAATCCAATTTTATTGCAAAAACTGTCGACTATATGGAAGGAATCAAATAAATCAGATGGCTGATACTTATCGGGAATTCGCGCTAATATGTTACTAGTTATATGTATGTATGACATGGGGTTTAAACATTTTACAAAATGTTTCAGTTTTTTTTAATTTTAATGAAGCAATGAATTTATTTTATTATTTATTAATAGTCAAATATTTAATTTTAGTCATCTATGGTAGTGTATAATTATCACGCCGATCTTTATTTTTTTCATGATTTACTGCTGTAAACAATTAATATTTTTATAGTGAAAATTATCAAAAAATTATTTATCAATGTAGGAATTATATTTTTGTTACTATCTACTAAATATTCCAAAGATTTATTTAACAAAATCATATAAAATCTAACCATTAAACACATTTTTATCACCAATAATACACGAATCTAATAATAATCTTAATTATCAATTCTTTTTTCTGTTTTATAAAATATTTTAATATTAACACTTTATATTTACCAATTTTATATTATTCATAAATATCAATCAAATATAAAAGTACAATATAATGATAACAGCCTACAATGAGCTCAAATATTTGGTATTAAGTATACACTGGAAAAAAACAATTATACTATCTAAGTCGGAGGAACATGTTTGTCAATCAATGAAGATGAATAAGAGGAATTAAATAATTTACGAATTAGAGAAATCTTTCATAATTAACACAACGTTTCTTAACCACCTCAAATTGATTTATATATGTTTTTTTTTATAAATATTGTTGTTTTCGTTTTGATAGAATTTTGAAAGATGATATAAAATTGTATTTAAATGTACCTAAATGTGATAAAACATACATCTTTAATAATTTAATATAATATTAGAAAATAAATGACTATTTATCGATCCAAATGGATATTTGGTACTTAAATGATTAGGTAAAAAAGGCTTACGCTTAATGCAGTAAATCATCAACAATATTTTGTCAACCAATTGAACTGTATAACTTATGGTGTTTTTTCAAAAGTAAATACAAACCAAAAAGCAAATTCATGACGTATGTACTGATCCTACACTGATTAAAAAACTAATAGCAGTGGTAAAAATAAATTCTACGGAATAGTAGATACAGGTTCTATATCAGTGAAAACATTCATAATTCTATAAGGAAAAACCTAGTTGAAAGGAGGTAAAACAATTATACATGGATAAAACGAATTGCAGCAAAAAAATCAATTCGATTATATTTTATACACTGTCGGCAGTTGACAAAATAAATTTACTTAGAAATCATCGAGAGTAGAATGGCGTTTATTTGGTCTGATAATATAAAGGCTCCTGACAATTTTAAATTTATAAAGTTTTGGTTCCATAAAATATAAATTTCTCTTACAGTACAGACTCTTACGGTCTGTCACAGCATACCAGTATCCGAATAACACTTAACCATACGAACGAAAGTTCGAGTATTACTCCGAAGTTTTTAATGGCTCATAAGTGCAATAGCTATTAATTTATTCGACAATGTTTTATTAATTTATGTCTATCCTGAATTATAAATTAAAGATACAACGGTGATTGTTATGCTAGATTTAGCATAATAATATACCATCGTTACATTTCCTAAGTAATTACATATAAATATATATATATATACAAGTACAATACGAAACATAAATATTTATTTCACACCTACTTAAATATGTGACGCGTACAAACGACGCAAAACCGTTTGTTCAAATATTAAATTGAGAATAATTTGCGAAATTAAATGAATTATATTTCTTATCGTGTTTACACTTATCGCGCACATGGAATTACACAGAACTTGTACATGTGTGTTGTATGTTATAAAAAAAATTATAAACAAATTAAATGATAATAAATATCCTTATTGTTTTAGATGTTATATTGTACTTCTAAAACAATAAGGATATTTATTATCATTTAATTTGTTTATAATTTTTTTTTTATCTAAGGGCATTGCAGCAATTATAATATTATAATATAGCGAATTTTTTTTATCGTTACTGACTCCACCTTAAGACATCGAAAACTCATAATTTTCATCATCACGCGTACGTTTGTAGTGTTGTAAAAATAATTCAACAAAATTTAACTAATTGCGATACTATCAATAACATATTAGATAATCTATGGTAATGTTTGAAATCTTATCTGAATCAAATAGCTATAGTTCATAAGGTGATTTTTCGTGAATCAATTTGAAACAGAATTCATCGCTGTCGTAAAGTGATGACACTAACAACATATTATATTGACACATTATACAACACACCCTAATAAATATCAACTATAATAATCACGATACAGAAAGCAGTATTAAGGATTTGGAACTATTAGTATATTATAATAATATGAAGATGCAAAATTCCAAGCATAATCTTCTTTATAATCGATGTTATAGTATAGTTAAAATAAATAACATAAATTGTATCCGAAACGCGTTTTTTCGGTTCGGGCTTCAACCTTTCGAACAGCAAGACCAGGTTAGGTTAGGTTCTGGCAAGGTTCAGGTGAAATCAGGTTTTATGTGATTAGTGCGGGCCGTAACCTTGTTTAAAAAACCGCAAGACATGACTGCGAACCAGAGTCAGACAGAAGATGATGACGGAAATACCGGGGAACAATATCTTTCCGTGCAGAGCCAAAATGCCGTTTACGAAAAGGAATACCACGGTCCGACTACCTACGGTGATTTTATGAGGATTTAAACGAGTGGAATCTGTTGTACGAGAATCCGAATCGATTGCGACCGCGCCGGTGACAAACGATCATGCGTCGTATACGTGATATACGCGCGCGGCCACGCAGCACAACAATTCAATAACAATAATTGACAGCGTGCTATAATAAGCGATACTCTGCGCGAGCGAACGGACACGGGCCTGCGTGTAAACGCAATAACAACAAACAATAACGGACGTGCGCTCGACCGCCGCCACGCACCTAATAACGTGTTACAACGAAAACGGCGCCGGCGTGACGATAAAGTCGCGGCGGGGATCACGTGTCCGCCGATTTGCTTGCACCCGGACACCGGGACGTGTAGACGACGGCGGCGGCGGCGGCGGCGGCGACGTCGTCGCAGACGTTTTGTCCGGTCGCGGGCGATAACGTGACGACGCAAGTCGCGTGGACCGTTTATACAAATATAGGCGCGCGTGCATGGACACACGGCATGAGGACACGCACACGCGCGCGCGCGCACGCGGAAACGGGATGAAAGAGACGCCCTTCCG